ATGGGCACATCCAATAAACAAATACAGACAGCCACCTTAATTCCCACAACAAGAGCTGCATGCGGAAACCCACTTTTCAGGGCACCATCTTCACATTTCTTAAAAGAGTTTCATTGAAACTTTCTTCGATAAAGTTTACCTTGTACCCAACAACTGTAACAAACCTTCCTGTGACCTGAGAACCTTCTCATCACCGACTACGGCTGAATTCGCCGGTCCAACACCGACCGGAGTCCATTAATGAATAAACCAGGCAATACACACAGTAGCGTGCAGAGGAAAAGAACTATGAGCAACACCACAGAACATAAATCTAATCAAGGCAAACACCAGGCAACAGCAACACCAACACACAATCAAATACATTAGCTCACCGAAACACAAAAACGACAGCATCCAATACAGCAAGGCCAGGAGACAACCACACCACCCACTAATAGAACGAGAAAAGAAGATGACCACCAGAAAACAGCTAAACACCCTTAAGCTTAAGCCACAGCAGAACAAACTAACAATAAAAACAACCTACTAAAAACTGACACTAAAGAGCTATACATGAAACAACTCCAGCTCCTCTAAAAACCGCTGCAAAACCTCCAGACCAATGCCTTAAACCTCCACAACCCCGGGCAAACATACACCAAACTCAAGCACTTCTGAAGACGCTGATCCAAGAAACAAACACTAGCATAACCAACGACAAAAATGGATCCAAACCTAGATCATACTCGACTCCTCTTCAAGACATAAACACTCTCACAACCTCACCAAAGCGACCCACTGTCAGCCATAACCTTCTCAATGAAGAGAGAGAGAAGGAAAATCCACGAACAATGAACCAGATTCCGATTAAAGACCTAAAACACTCTCCCACAACTGAAATTATCAAACGAGCCAAAAAACTGGTTCACTATGGCAATTACACAAACGGCTTAAAACCAAAAATAACTATCGCGAACTGATTCCATAAGCTGACAGGAAACGCACGCAGAAACTCGTAACTATAAAACTAATTCATACAAGAACCAAAACTCAAGCAACGATCCAGCAAACAAATAGAAACAGGAAATCACAGCTGGTATTCAAAGAAGCGATCTCACCAAACTAGAAGAGGACACCCAAACAATCGAGTATCAAATTTGGGGACGAGAGCCAAAACAAACCAAATCCCCAAAAACACCAGGGCTAGGTCGACCAAACTCAGGTACAAAAAAAAAAACAAAAAGAGAATCAGCATCACAGTAAAGGCTTTTGAGAACTAGAGAGAAGCGGACAGAAGAATCGTGAAATAGCAAGGACGGTGGTGGAGGCGACCACCACCGCCCAGGACGAACGAAAGAAAAGCCAATCGACCAATGATTATAAACTGTCTTGGTATAGCAATTTGAAAACTTTCACCTTCAGTCGAATTTATGAATGTTGACAAAGGTAGGATTGAGTTTGGAACCACAAATTGTGATTGTAAATTACATAAAAAAGATATCTTTCTCAGAGTGAAATGACAAATACAATGATGCATTTCCTTCAACTCATCATCATTCAGCTTTCGACTTTATCAACTCTTACATATGCAAAACTGTCAACATAGGTCTCACATCCTCATTTCTTCTCTAAGAAATTCATCACTTCAACACTAAATACAAGACAAATAGATTCTTATTAAAATTATACTTTTACAGTTTTACCCCTCTTTGGTAAAGGAAGTTTCCTAGAAGGCTAGGTGATTTCCATTATTTAAACTAAATTATTAAATTTAGTTTAATGCATCAAAAATACATCTTATTAAAATTTTAACCCTTATTTTTATCTCGACTTTCTCATACGAGATATTTAGCTTTTTCCCTATAATTATAAATTATAATAGTAGAGAAACCCACGTCAGTTACTTCTATGGCAAAGAAAGGATGGATGTGTTTAATTTTGACATACTAATAGCTTTATAAAGATGAAATAAGATTAAATAACATCAAATCAAGGCAGAAGGAAAACTCCTGAATTTTAGCATAGTGGAGGGACTAAACCAAAATTTGATCAATCGTCATTCATTCACTTAACAAACCCGGATTTCTTCTTCCGGTCGTATTGTCCCATTAACCCGGCTTCTGTGTAAACGAATGTGTGCGGATATTCTGTTGAAGTAATTATCGAAGAAAACTTGAAGCTTCCAGCAATGGGCGCCTCCGAATCTGCCCTCTCAAGTTCTTTATCGGTAAGTTTCCGATTTCTCTTTAAAAACTCCAAGCTTTTCGGCCGGGTTCCTTTTATAGCTTAACTTACTTCTAACATTGATTATTGGTAATGAAGAGTTCAGCCGACCAAATCACTACCATTTCAAAGCGATCAGAAACAATCGATCCCGTTTTAGAGAAGCTCAAATCCCTTAAAATTGTAAGTTTTTATTCTTTTTAGGTGATCATTTCTCCGTGAAAATTACTGGAACTTGATGGGTTTTTTTTTTTTTAATTGTAGACGTCGCCAATACTGACGACACCGCCAACGGAGGGTAGCTTAACTGACATCTTAGTAAGAAAGCCATCATCATCTTCAGCACAAGGTGTGCTTCACTTCCCTAATTTTTTGTACAAAATCCTCCCTAATTAATAAGCTTTGACAATTATTAAGAAAATTATTAGACGATTGAATGCTTCATAAGTGAAAACGGTTTTGATCTCTTAGTTGTTTTTGGGGATTTCATCGCGTATTTCTTGCTTTATATCCATGTGTCAGTGTTTATGGTTGATAACCCCAGAAAGAAAGTGAGACTGATAGCCCGTAAAATGTATACTTTGGTTTCAAATTTTCTGAAAGAATTAGGGATTTTTCTAATGTTCAATTTCCAGGGACTCCAATTCTATATCTGAAGCATTTAGTTAACATTCTGCAGCTGTTATTTACTTATTTTTTCATATTTTAATTTGAAATGGGGGTTTACTCATCGGAGGCTGTTTTCCTGATGAATGGTTTGGCTGTTAAGATCAGAGTACATCTGTCATCAAAGTGATTTTACAACTTTTTTCTTGGCCTAAGCTTACCCTAGGGAGTGGTATCAGAGTAATCCATTAGATTCAATGGCATTAGTACATGCCAGATTCTTGTTCCTATGCTTTTTTGTGAAGAGCCATAACCTGTATGCATTCTGTAGCTACTCGGAATGCCATTCCCAATTCAAGTCTCATTAGTTTTGCATCCAATTGTTCTCGACTTTGCATTCATTAAAGACTTTTGTCTACTTGTTTGTCTATTTACTATTGTTTTAGAGATGAAATGATGAACAAAACAATGGTGCATCGGATATAGATTGCTTTCTAATCACATAGTTAAGCATCTATAAAGTACTCCGGTTGCTAATTGTGGATTATACTGAAGGGCCTAAGATAAGATTTGAAGAACTCTATAATTTTAGGGAAAATCATATGCATAAAAGTAAACTAGATGAACAGAACAAGAGAAAAATCGAAAACCCCCGACGACTTTTCAGAAATCATGGTAATCTGGGCTATATAGGTTAGTATGATCTTCAAGTGCTAAATATTTTCTGATTTTGTTCAGTGGTTGTCATAACATTTTATGCTGGGTTGAAATAATTTCTTTTTGGACTATCAAAATAGCTACTGTGGATCCGAAGGTGTTGGTGGAACTCTTCTCAATTTATCGTGATTGGCAGGAGGAGAAGGCTCAAGAGATTAGCAAGAAACAGGTTTGTAAATTTATTAGTTTGAGAATACCTGTTGCAATGTCATAGGGTGGGATTACTTGTGCCGGGATCATGAGTTTTACTGTTTCAAGTTGTCATCTTCCATTAATTTCCTTCAAATGTATACATAATCATTTGAACACGTTTCACTGCAGGAAGAGATAGAAAACAAAATAGAAGTTGCAGATGCTTTGGCAATTAAACTTCTCCAACGTTTTAATTACTCAGTTTCCACAATGAAGACAACTTCACAACATTTATCAGAAGGTAATCCAAGTTTCCTCTCAAATAGAGAGCGCAGATTGATTCCTCTCCTCTCAAAAATCTAAATTAACTATGTAGTTCACACATTGCAAGTGGAGCTTGGAGATCTCAAAGGAAGGTTAACTGAGGTCCTCTCCAATTGTGACGCACTGTGCAAGAGGATTGCTGCAGAGGGGCCTGAACCCCTTAGGTCGTCTATCAAGCCCTTTGCAGTTGCCACTGCAAACTCGGCAGTAAACCATCAAGGACATTTATCAACAAATCAAAGCTCTACATCTATACAAGACAACTTTGAGTGACACTTTAGTGTTTTACCCCTACATAATTCACATATTCTTTTACTATACACTTCTTTTGAGATTGAATATCCTTTTACTATACACTTCTTTTGAGATGAATTTTTTTCTGTATTTGCTAGGCCTGTAAACAATCCGAGTTAAGTTCGACAATTGTTGAGCTCGACTTGACTCAATTTGAAAAGTTCAAATCTGAACACGACTCAACTCCAAAGCTCGCAAGTTTATAATTATTAAAATTGACTCGAAATCGAAATAAAAAATTAAACTCGACTCAAGCTAAAAGAAAAACTTGAATTTGATTAGATCTAGCTAACAAAAACACGTACTCAAATATGAACCTTGTAATATTTTAATTTTTAAAAAAATCAAAATATAAATATTAATATTATAAATAATTTAATTTAAAGAAATTTAAAATTTTAAAAACTATTATTTTTAGTTGACCCTTCACTTTTGTGAGTTTGAGTATCAAATATTTTACTTTGGTTCGTTAGAAACTCAAATTAGTTCACTTTGATTCATTAAGAACTCAAGTTCAAGGTTTAATTAGATCTATTTGATTTGAGAGTTGAAACTCGAATAGCTCGTGATTTAATTAATTAATTTACATCCCTAATACTTGGGGGCTGCCAAAGTTTTGAATACAGATTCCAGTGTTTCATTTAACCGTTTATCAAGTTAACTATCAAACTTTTGCATTGCACGAGAGCTTTTTAGGGCCATTCTGGTCAGGACAATTCAAGTAATACAGTCCGAATTGAAAACACGAACATTGCGCAAACAACACAAAACAGAACAATTGTCTAATAATTCAAACAATTATCAAGCATAAAGGTGCCCAATACTCTTGAATGTGAAATATAAAGGCCAAAAGAACTAAAACGACAGGAAGTAATACCCCAAGGCTAAGCCTTATCAGCTTTGGCAGCAGTAGCTGCGGCTTGTCCTCTGAGCCTACCAGTCCTCCTAGCTGCAATAAGGCCAACTTTCTGTCCAGGAGGAGCATCACGCCTGACGGTACTAGCATGATCAATGTGTTGATGGTTACCATCTCTGTGAGGATGCTCAACGGGGTTCATAGCCACACCACGGACCTTCGGCCAGCAGTTCCTCTTCACCCTAAACCTGTGATAAGCATTACCAGCCTTAAGAAGAGGTTTCTCAGTCCTACCACCACCTGCAACCTGACCAATCATTGCACGACAGCCACTCGGAACAATCTTATTAGCACCAGATGGCAGCTTGATCCTGTAAAGATTACAAATCCATAATCATTTCCAAAACAACAAATTACTCCGAACTTTCAAGATTAAGCAAAAATTATCATTGATACACGCAGGAATCAACAAGAGAATGAAATTTAACCAGTGGTAGAAGATACATAACTAAACAGTACTGATCAAGCTAAAACGGGATAATGGATTGAAATCAGAATCCTTATGCTTAAGAGATGCCTTTTCAAGTTTCAATTAATTAAGAATTAAGCAGCCTTCATCTAATAATTCAATTGTAGTTCTTTCAGATAAACTAGACATACGATTTAGCAAGGATATCCACGGTAAATCTTAGATTGTACTAAAAAAACAAAACAATATAGAAAACTATGACAAAAAAATAAACCCAATCAAAACTAAAGTTAAAACAGCTTAAGAATGAGAGACCTGGTGGTGTCGTTATCAGGGTTGTGACTGATAACAATAGCGTAATCCCCAGAGACCCTAGCGAAAACCCCACGATCACCAACAATAAACAAAGCTTAGCCCCGCGTAATTATGAACGAACGTAAAATTTTAAATTAAGGATGAAATTGTAAAAGTTTATAGGGGAACTAACTCATAAAATTTTAGAGAAACAAAATATATTATTAATAAAAAATATAAAACTTCTAAAATATAAGATAATTTTAAAATTTAAGGACATCTTTTATTCTATTTCTACACGCAATCATAATTTCATTGAAAGATAATCATGGATTCTCTATCTAGAAGATCGTGACTTCGATAAATTTCAGAACGGTGAGATGGTTTAGAGAGTTTATTCAAAGAGTTGAACGATTAATCTACTGATTGCAGAGAAAACTTTTCACTTAGTCAATACTGATGGTAGAGAGAGCTTTCACTCAGTCAAATAACAGAGATAAGGCTACTTGGCAATTTTATCCAAATAATGCCCTAACAACGAAATATTATCTATCAGTCATCCTTTCTCCAAATATTATCGATTTAACACACTTTCTGACAAAGCGCGAATTATAAGGCGTGTCTTGGCAGGATTTTGTCTGAGCTGGCGCCACAATGGAAAAGTGTGGATCATGAAGTGCGCCTTCACGGGGTTCTGTCCGAGCTGGCACCACATAGCAAAGGCACATATCATGAAGCGCGTATTCGCTGGGAAATCTGACACGTGCAGGGAAGACGCGTGGATCATGAGGCGCACCTTCAATTGTTCACTTTGAATTATTGCGCACTCTATCCACCTCCCCTATAAATACCCCCGAATGCAAACATCAAACCACACTAAAATTACTTTCATATTCTCTTTTATCAAGCTAAGTAGATTTTGTTATAGTTTTTAGAAGGTAAAACTATTTTTTATTATATTATATTTATTTTATATTTAATTATTTAACCAAATTTTATTGTACTAATTATTTTGTATTATTTTTTTCAATGTAAAATGGAAGGCGGGATCATATCCCGAGATATTTTGCCGATACGGTAACAATATTGAATTATGTTATTTAAATTATTGTGATTTTTTTTTATTTTTTAGCATTAGTTTATTTTAATTCGTATAATATTTATTTAATTAGATGTATTTCAGCTATTGTTTTTGTAGGTATAGGACTCTCAATCTTTCAAACTCTCAAAATGATGTGTATTTCATCTATTGTTTACTATAATGGAGAAATTCGTGAAGATGAAACTGGCGTCTTCGCATCAAATCATTCAGTCAGAATATCTTTCAAGAGAAACATCACTCTTGATGATCTGATCACTAAAATTTCAAGGAATGTTCATGTTGGAAATACTAGAAGATTGTCCTCACTTCAAAACATATTTACAACTGCACTATTTCCGTTACAGCGTTCGATCTCTCCAACGATGATGATGTTGCTATGATGGTTGATGCTCATAATCAAAATTCAGATGATGATACAAAAATGTATGCCCCATTTTTTGACGTGTTTACGGTTCGTGGTAAGTCATTATGCTCCCACTATAGGTTAGCTGATCAAGCTGACAGCCCAACTCAAGTAATGTGCAATGATTTTAACTCGTTAATGGGAAATCCACATCCTAGTATCATCTCATCAAGTTCAATGGGGACACATTCATCAGCAACTTGTTACGATCTCCACCAAAGTGGCTCCACGAACAATCTGTACGGCAACATCGCTTCCATTTCAAAGGGAAGACATTCATCTTCCAATTTCTTTGACCTGAATATGGAGATGCACTTGACACAACAATCTCTCCAATACCATTTGACACGTTACCTACAAGTTCTAGGGGGAGGCATTCAACTACGAGCTTCTTCGACCTCAATATAGAGATGTTTATTCTTCATCCACGAGTTGGGGGATGATGATGTTGTAACGGTGGACATTTTTCTCGATGCCGACAAATGCTCTCATTTTGTGCTTCCTCGAAAATAGAAATGACTTCTCGTTCGTATTGAACCACTGATAATAGTCATCTGCAACCGAATAATGATCCACATAAATAGGCTCCCTACGGAGAATGCATCCACATCGATCCTTCAAGATCATTACCCATTCGTTGTGCTTCATAAGCCATTTGACTTATTTTTTACCCCGTTTATCGATGTTATGCAGATTGTTGAGATTCATATGTGCTTCAGGAATAGATTGTACGAAAAGAAATTGGTGGAGCACGCGATCAATACGAAGCCACTCGATAATAGCATAACATATCAGAGGGACCATCGCCATCCATACATCTAATGGGTCACTCAACTGAGGTAGGATGCAACGCCTATTTCTTCAGTAGAATAAGGAGCCCATTGAAACTAAAACAAATATATATAATTCTTATCAAAATAATATTCTAATTATATAACGATAATGAAAGGTAAATAATAAAATTTAAATACATACCTCTGTACCAGTCTTTTGATCAATGCACAGCCGAATTTCTTCCAATTCATCTGCTATATCACGGTGATATTTTCTTATAGATGACCACATATTCAGTGTAAAAAAATTAATTATATACTCAAAAAGTTATTTATATACAAACTCAATATTAAAATTACCTCAACAATAACGGGAAGACTAATGGGATTTTCACGACTGGACATAAAAAGGGCATGCGATACCACGCCCATGATTACATGAGAATGAGATATCCGCCAATAGCATTTTTTTATAATAAGTTACTCAACACATTTCTCTATACAGAGATGACAAAATCGTAGAGCCCCAATTGAATGAGCCAACAACTCGAAAATATATGAGATGACGCAACTGCATACAATGAATTTGGTTGCAAGATTTTTCGGGCATCAAGATCTCTCTTATGAGTTCCAATATGCAAGCTCGGGCAAATATTCAAGCTTGTTCCTCATAAAAATCATCGCTCAACCGTCAAAAATTTCTAACCAACCATGATAATGGTATTCGACCACCGTTGAAATTAGGCGGGATACCTCCAAGATACTCATCGCACAAGGAATGCCAATCACCATCCGCCAGACCAGAAATAATATCCCCATCTACCGAAAGCCCCAAATGTAAGGACATGCCCAAATATGTGTGTCTCTGGTCTCCACCTCTCAATCAATACAAAAATAAGGTTACATTCAAGGTTACAATGCCCTTCATATTTCGCTATGTAACCAAATTTAGCCTCAGCTAAATACGGCCAGACACGACTCGGTATCTCTAATTTAGCGTTATGAATAAATAGGTCTAATATACAGTCATTCACCTAATTAAATAAATAGTACACAAATTAAAGTATAAACTAATACTAAAAAAATAAATGAATAAAATATTCACAATAAATAAAATAACATAATTTAAAATTATTACCATATTGTAAAAATGACTCGATATATGTTTCTCATCAAACACAACAACCCGCCTATCATTTTATAATTGCAAAAAGTAATAAAAATTAGTATAATAAAATATAATAAAATAATAAACTATTAAATTATTATAATATAATAAAAAAATTAGCTTCTAAAAACGATAACTATACTTACTTAAAACTTGATAGAATGATAAATAGAATGAATAAATAGAGTGTTTTTTTGTGTGGTATGAGTGTTGGATGAGGGGGTATTTATAGGGAGGGGGATGGGGTTTGAGCGATATTTAAGGCATGACGGTTAGGATTTAAATGCAAGGTGTGGATTATGATTTGTGCCTTCTGCCACATGTATGATTCCTAGCAAAGGCGCGCTTCATGGTCCGCGCTTTACCACCATGGTGCCAACTCGAATTGAACCCCGCGAAGGCGTGGATTATGATCCATGCTTTTCCACCATGATGCCAGCTCAGAAAAAAAACTATACGAAGGAACGCCTTATGATATACACTTTGTTAAAAAGGGTACCAGACATGTAATATGTTAGGATTATAAAGATGCTCAAATTGATAACAACAAAAAAAACAAAGGGTTTTAAATGATAGTGATTAAGGAGAACAAAAAGATAAGACAATTTGACTCAAGTATTTAAAGTGGTTCGACTTATCAACCAAGTATACATCCACCACCTTAGCTCCTCACTAAGGATTTTTTAAGAAATTCACTAATTTGTTCTTTCTTTTTCAATGATAAAGAGATAACCTTTACAACTCCCTATCTTTTCAATGGCTAAGATAGAACCAAACCCTTTACAAAGGAAAAAGAGTGTAAACAAATAAACCTCTAGAAATGAATGTGTTTACAAATTAAAAGCTCACAAAAACACAAATATTTACAAGAGAATTGAAACTAAGAATGACAAACTCTTTTCTTGTGTTTGATTGCTTGAATAGGTGTTCTAACTCTTCTTCAAGTGTCTTGAACTTGTATTTATGTGTTGGAATGTTGTTGTGGTCGTTTCTAGCCGTTGGAGGTTGTTTGGAGCCTTTGGAGATCAATTTTCGTGCAAAATAAAGTTACCCAGACCAAAGGGTATCAGTACTCCTAAAGGGAGAATCGGTACTACCTTCGTTATATTTAAATCAACTAGCCGTTACTAGCCGTTAGGGCCTTATGGTATCGATACTATGCCTTTGGTATCGATACTACTATACAAAATAGTATCGGTATCCCTTTGGGTATCAGTACCATTTTTGCATTCTGGAATCTGAGCAAAACTGGTAGTATCGGTATTACCTAGTGAGTATCGATACTTCACTTACCTTTGGTATTGCTATCATGAAAACTTTGAATAAATTCAATTCAAGTCCAAAAACATTTTGCCTTAAATTGTTATATCAAAATATAGTTCAACAATCTCCCCCTTTTGATATAATAAAACATTTGAAAAATTGTTTTTGGCAAAACTCCCCCTTACTAAAATGTTTAATGAAAAAGGTATCAATTGTTGGAAAAATATGTGAAAATGTTCAGCTCATCCTTTTTCATCAAGAAATTGAATTTTTCAAACCAATACTTATCCCCCTTTTTGTTAAATCAAAAAGAATTCAACTTTAAAGTTCAAACATAACATTGGAGAGTAAGTGATAATTTTTACATTAAAAACATTTGAAAAATCAAATCTCCCCCTCAAAAAGTGCATTCCAAACAAAATTTAGTTTTAAAATCTTGACATTTAAACAAAATTGAATTTCAACAAATAGTAAAAAAATGTTAGTAGCTCATGGAATTCAATATATCAAACTCTAAAATACTTTATGCAATACAAATAGTTGAAATTAAGTACAAATGCATAAAGCTTTAATTTTAGGTCAAAATTTTAAAATTTGTAAAATCAAGCATTTTAAATGTTGATATCAATTGTTAGAGAGATATCGTTTGCATTAAAATCAATTTTGACCAAAATTCATTATGATGAACAAAAAAATAATGAAAATATTAAAACTTTAAAATGTTCAACATAACATCTTTTTTGAAATTAAGTACAAATGCATAAAGCTTTAATTTTAGGTCAAAATTTTAAAATTTGTAAAATCAAGCATTTGAAATGTTGATATCAATTGTTAGAGAGATATCGTTTGCATTAAAATCAATTTTGACCAAAATTCATTATGATGAACAAAAAAATAATGAAAATATTAAAACTTTAAAATGTTCAACATAACATCTTTTTAACATACATGAGATGAAAAACATCAAATCATTAAAATCAAAACTCATGCATGCTTAAATCAAAATTAGCAACCAAATAATCAAAATAAAAAACATTAAGCTTAGAGGTTACCCATTCTTTTTTTTAGTGTGGCTACAGCATCTTGATTTCTTCATTTTCATCACCATTGCTCCCACACACCTACAAGAGACATTTAAGTAGATTTTGGTATCCAAATTGCTTTGGATCCTTGAACGTTAGTTTCAATGCCCCTTGTTCCCTTAGGAACCCATACTTTTCTAATTTTAAAACGTTTTCCTTTCTTCAAAGGACAATTATGTTCCAAATGACCATAAAATGGCAATGTGAGCATTTTGCCATTTTCAAACATAATGATTTGTTTTGAGAAATTAATTCTTTTTCTTTTGTTAAGTTCTCAAGCTTAAATTTCAAATCAAAATTTTCTTTTTCTAAATCATTGATTTTAACTTTTGAAAACTCTAAATCATTTTTCAAATTTTCATTTTGATTTTCAAAATCAACTTTGGCTTTCAAATTAAATCATTTTCAACTTTAAAATTTTAAATTATTTCTTATATTTGGAATTCATGGTCTCAAATTCCAAATACAACTCATTATAACATCTTGTAACTCATTAAAAGAATGTAAATTTAAATAATTTGAATTAGAAGATACCTCGGAATCATCTTTGATGGCCATGAGGCATAGGTTGGATACTTCATCTTCATTATTGGAATCATTTTCATCACTCCAAGCTGCCACAAATGTCTTTTTATTTGATGATCCCTTTTTCTTTAGGAGTGGGAATTTATACTTGACATGCCCATTTCTTTGACAATTGAAGCACACCGGGGGATCATTCTTTTTGGTTGATTCATGCTTCACTTCCTTGGAAGACATGAATCTTTTGAACTTTTTGAAGAGCTTGGTCATCTCTTTTCTTCATCATCGTCTTCATCCACCTCTTCACTTGACTCTTGATAGCTCTCATTGGTGGACTTGAAGGCAATGCCTACCTCCTTCTTATTATTGTTTTGCTTCTCTTCATATTCTTCATCTTCCTTCACCATCAACTCATGAGTGAGTAGAGAACTAATTAGCTCATCGAGAGTGAGAGACTTTAGGTCTCTAGCTTCGATAATCGCCTTCTTCTTGCCAAGACTTTGGAAGAGAGTATATCATCTTCCTCACTAACTTCTCATTGGAGATAACTTCTCCAAATCCTTTGAGACCGTTGACAATCACGAAAAATCTATCCGTCATAGCTTTGATGTCTTCATCGAGTTTCATCTTGAAATTCTCGTAGCTATGGTTGAGAAGACTTATATTGGTTTCCCTCACTTCATTGGTTCCCTCATGAGTGACTTGGAGCTTATCCTATATCTCATTGGCATTAGAACAAGAGGAGGCTCTTACGTATTCATTCGGGCCTAATGCACAAAAGAGGACGTGCATAGCCTTGGCATTGAGCTGGAACTTCTTCTTCTCTCTATCACTCAAATCGTCCATCTCGTCGGTTGGAATGGTGTATCCTTTAATGATCGAATTCCAAGCTCCTAGATCGTTGGCTTGAATGAAGAGAAGCATCATATTCTTCCAATAGGCATAATTTGCTCCATTGAAGTAGGGTGGCTTATTGACCAGTTGTGAATCTTCAATGTAGTATGCACCGAGGTTGAAGCCATTTCTTCTCGGTTGTGTCGGAATTGGTAGAGATTTTCTAGGGACGTCTCAAGGTGGTTAAACCTTATAAATGAGTTAGGCTCTGATATCAATTGTTAGGATTATGAAGAGACTCAAATTGACAATCAAAAAAGAGTAAATGAGTTTAAATGAAAGAATTGAATTTAGGGAGTAAGGAGAAAAAAGATAAGATAATTGACACAAGTATTTAAAGTGGTCGACTTATCAACCAAGTCT